CAAGGGTCATAGTTCTTTTTTTTTTTTTTTTTTTTTGAGACAAGGTCTTACTCTGTCGCCCAGGCTGGAGGCTCCAGTGCAGTGGCACAAATAAGGCTCACTGCAGCCTCAAACTTCCAGGCTCAAGCAATCCTCCTGCCTCAGCTTCGTGAGTAGCTGGGATGACAGGTATGTACCAGCATGCCTGGCTAATTTTTAAATAAATTTTTGTAGAGATAGGGTCTTGCCATGTTTCCCAGGCTGGTCTTGAACTCCTGGGGTCAAGCAATCCTCCCATCTTGGCCTCCTGAAGTGTTGGGATTACAGGTGTGAGCCCCTGTACTCAGCCCATGTTTCTTTTTTATCTTGTATCTCAAGAACATTGTTGGAAACACATGTAAGGTGGTGATTAAATACTCTGTTATTGTTCAGTTGATATCTGCTATACTTCTGACTTAATTAAAAGAGTTCCTATTTTGCCAAATTTGTCTTTCCAGCTGCCCGAGGATTTCCACTTAGAACCTTAAATGACTGGTTCAGCTCTATGAGAATTTATGTAATTACTGGGGAAGGGAATATATGCACTCCACAGATGCCTTGTTCAGGTAAGGTATGGCAGAGAGGTTCTTCCTGGAAGGTGGAAAATTATGCCAGAGGCTCAAAGATCTGTCTATTGCAGGCTTGCCTCCAGCTCTCCTGCAGGAGCAGCAGCAGAGGATTAGGGGCTTGGAAAATGGTTACGTGTGTGACTTTGTTTTCAGACTGAAACCCAGTGGCAAAGTCAGCAAGTGACTGGGCTTTGGTTTTAATGATATGTACAAACCTGGAACATACTTGGGCAACGCCTGTTAGTGGGAAGGGTCACTTCCTGTTTATAGCCTGAGCAGAAAATATATGCTCTTGCCCACTTCCTTGTTTCCATTTCACGTAGCACAGTCATCATACCTGTGCCACACTCTTCAACCTCACTGAGGACTCAAGCCCTGGGCCCTTTAACAGTTGTGCTGTTAAAGTCCACTGCGACTGAATGGGGTTTCTGGGAAGTAACTCTCAGACATGGTCCACTGCCTACTGGTGGGCCACCAAGGGTCTCCTAATGCTGCCAACCCCCCCAAAATATGGGACTTTTCTTGAGTTCTCCTTGGAACTTGATATGCATGTCCATGGGCCTTTAGTTTTGTATGTAACTTAAAGGCTACTTATTTATAACCTTAATAGTTACCTTGGTTTTTAAAGGTTATTACAATCTAATATTCAGAATCTAAAGTAAGTGTTGCTAGGGTTTAACATTTTTTCAATTGAGGTGAAATTCACATAACATATAATTAACATGTTAATGTGTACAATTCAGTGGTATTTAGCGTAAAATTTAGCAGTATTTGATGTATTCACAATATTATACATCCATCAGCTCTCTCTAGTTTCAAAAGGTGGTGTTTTTTTTTTTGAAAGGGTCTCGCTTTGTCACCCAGGCTGTAGTGCAGTGGTACTATCATGGCCCCTTGCAGCCTCGACCTCCTGGGCTCAAGCGATCCTCTTACCTCAGTGCCCCCCAGCCAGAGTAGGCTAGGACCACAGGCGCAATCCACCGTGCTCAGCTAATTTTTATGTGTTTTTGTAGAGATGGGAATCTCCCTATGTTGCCCAGGCTGGTCTGGAACTCCTGGGCTCAAGCCATCCACTCACCTTGGCCTCCTGAGGTGCTGGGATTACAGGCATGAGCCATCCCTGCCAGCCTTTTAAAAACATTTTTTTTGTAGAGACAAGGTCTCACTGTGTTGCTCAGGCTGGTCTCACACTCCTGGGCTCAAGCAAGTCTACTGCCTTGACTTCCCAAAGTGCTGAGATCACAGGTGTAGGCCACAGCAGCTGGTCCAGTTTCAGAACGTTTTATCACCCCATACCCACTAAGAAGTTACTCCCCCATTGTCTCCTCCCTGATCTCCTGGTATCCTCTAATCTGCTTTCTGTCTTTATTGATTCACCTATTCTGAATATATCACATAAAAGAAATCATACAATATATGATCTTTTGTGTTTGACTTATCTCACTCTGGATAATGTTTTTGAGGTTCCTCCAAGTTGTAGCATGTAGCAATACTTCATTTCTTTTCGTGGCTGAATAATACTCCATTGTACATATATGCCACAATTTGTGTATTCATTCATCCATTAATGGACATTTGTCTTGTTTCTACCTTTTGGTTATTATGAATAATAGCTGCTATAAGCATTTGTATATAAGTTTCTACGTAAACATATGTTTTCATTTCTCCTGGATATACATCTTGGAGTGGAATTTCTGGGTCATTATGTTAATTCTCTAACTTTTTGAGGAACCACCAACTATTTTCCAATGCTGCACTATTTTACATTCCTATGTAAATGTAAGTGTTCCTATTTCTACCCATCCTCAGCAACACTTACCTTCCTTTTTCAAAAAAAAAAATATATATATACATATATATATATATATATTAAAGCCGTCCTAGTGGGTATGAAGTGGTATCTCATTGTGGTTTTAATTTGCACTTCCTTAATGACTAATTATGTTGAACATCTTTTTGTGTGCTTTTTGGCTTTTTGTATACCTTCATTGGAGAACTGTCTGTTCAAGTCTTTTGCGTATTTTTTTTTTTATTTAACTCGGATTGCTTGTCTTTTTGTTGTTGAGCTGTAAGCATTCTTTATATAGTCTGGATATGAAATCCTTGTCAGATATATTATTTGCAAATATTTTTAGGTTTTCTTTCACATTCTTGATAATGCCTTTTTTTTTTTTTTTTTTTTGAGACAGAGTCTTCCTCTGTCACCCAGGTTGGAGTGCAGTGGCACCATCTTGGCTCACTGCAACCTCTGCCTCCCGGGTTTAAGTGATTCCTGTGCCTCAGCCTCCTGAATAGCTGGGACTGCAGGTGTGCGCCACCATGCACAGCTAATCTTTGTATTTTTAGTAGAGATGGAGTTTCACCATGTTGTTCAGGCTCATCTAGAACTCCTGAGCTCAAATGATCTGCCTGCCTCGGCCAGTGGGTTACAGGTGTGAACCACTGTGCCCAGGCAAAAATGGCTTTTAATGCACAAAGGTTTTTAATTTTTATCAAATTTCTCTTTTTTTCTCTTGTTGCTTATGCTTTTGATGTAAAATTTAAGAATTCATTGCCAAATCCAATGTCATGAAGATTTAATCCCTGTTTTCTTCTAAGGATTTTATAGTTTTAGCTCTTATATCAAGCTTGTCCAACCCATGGCCCAGGATGGCTTTGAATGCAGCCCAACACAAATTCATAAACTTTCTTAAAACGTTACGAGATTTTTTTAAATAGCTCATCAGCTATCGTTAGTACTAGTATATTTTATATGTGGCCCAAGACAATTCTTCCATCAATGTGGCCCAGGGAAGCCAAAAGATTGGCCACCTCTGTCTTATATTAAGGCCATTAATTCATTACAAGTTAGTTTTTGTCTGTAGAGTGAAGTTAGGGAGGAACCTCATTCTTTTACATGCAGATATCCAGTTGTCCCAGAATCATTTTTTGAAGACACTTATTTTTTTCTCATTGAATGGTCTTGGCATTCTGTCAAAAATCAGCTGTTCATAGATGCTTGGGTTTATTTCTGGACTCTTAATTTATTCTATTGGTCTCTAAGTCTGTCCTCGTGCCAGTAACACACTGTCTTGATTACAATAGTTTTGTAATAAATTTTGGATTAAAGCAAAATAACTTTACAGCTGTCCATTCACTTTATCCAGTTAAATCACTTTGGGGAATGTAACCCAAGGTAGTAAGTAAAACTCGTGTTTATTGTAAGGTTAATTGGAAAGTCAGAAACAACAAAAAGTATCATCTATCTATATGATGAAATATTATCCAGCTTTGAATTTATGAAGTAAATTAACAGTATAAAGACATTTCTTATAATATTAAGTAAAAGAGCCAGATTTTAAAAATCATGTGACTGGCCTGTAATCCCAGCACTTTGGGAGGCCGAGGCAGGCGGATCACGAGGTCAGGAGATTGAGACCATCCTGGCTAACATGGTGAAACCCCATCTCTACTAAAAATACAAAAAAATTTAGCTGGGCATGGTGGCGGGCGTCTGTAGTTTTAGCTACTTGGGAGGCTGAGACAGGAGAAATGGCGTGAACCTGGGAGGTGAAGCTTGCAGTGAGCCAAGGTCGTGCCACTGCACTCCAGCCTGGGTGACAGAGCGAGACTCCGTCTCAAAAAAATAAAAATAAATAAAAATAATATGGCTGATATGATCATGATTATATAAAGAATATTCACAGAGATTCTACAAAGAAATACACCAAAATATTAAGTTTTTGGTGGTAGAATTATAGATGACTTTTTTCCACTCCTCTTCTCTCTATTTTCCAAACGGATAGTCCTCATTAAGCATGTATTACTTTTTTTCATCATCAAACTTTATTAAGTAAAACACATGTCTGTGCACAAGTATAAGTAATGCACCAATCTATTCATAGGGTTGTTTTCATGTTGATTTGAATCCCTGCACAACAGGAAGTGATATGCCTTCAATTGGTGATAGCTGGAGGAAATCGCTTTAGCATTATTCTGCCTGACTTCTCCTCTTGCGTCAGTTTGCTTCAGCATTATTTTTTAAGTTCTTCCTTCTCACATATTCCTTGACTTCAAGGTAACTGAATTTTTTTCCTTCTCATTATAATTCCCAGTTATTGCCTATGGAGCCCCACCTGCAGGATATGGAGCCCCACCTCCCGGATATGGAGCCCCACCTGCAGGATATGGAGCCCCACCTCCTGGATACGGGGCCCCACCTGCAGGATATGGAGCCCAACCTGCAGGAAATGAAGGCCC